GTGGTCAGCATCCACACTGTGATAACCACCAGTGCATCTCCCCAGGTGCACCACTGTGGACACCAAGTGCTAGTCCCTGTCCCCTGTCCTCTCCAGGCAACAGATGAGGCACTGTGCCCATTGTTCCTATCAGTAGCAGCATGCACACTCCTAGTGCTGTTCTCACACTCCTGCTCTGGTACCTGTGCTCACACTGAGTACAAGCAGCCCTCGCTCCATTTCTGCTTGCAGCACTGTGCAGCTCCTTGAGTACACATGTGTGCAAGGCAGTGTGTGTCCCACTCTGCTCAGCACAGCCATGGCCCACTGCATTTCCAGTGTGCAACTCAGACCCCAGGGCAGTGATGGGATGATGTGACCAAAACTTGCTCAGGAATGAAGCAAGGACCACCCAGGTGGCCCCAGTCCAGGACAAGACACCATCATCCATGGGGCTCACAGCACAAATGCTTGGCAGCACACAAGAGCTTGCTCTGCTCATCCAAGCTGCCCCACATACCACCTCTGCCCTGAGCCAACCTGCTCAGGGCTGTGCAAATTTTGCACTGCTTAGCCCTGACAGCAGCAGCACTGTGGTCACAGCTCCTTCCCATGCCAAGGGCCCCAGCCCAGCAGAGCACCCCCAGCACGTTCTCCCAAGCCCTGCACCCTGTGTGCACGCAGTCCATGTCACACACATGCCATTGCCCCAGTCTGGCCCAGTCGCAGCTGCAAAGCCACAGCCACCTTGCGCTAATTACAAACATCCCTCGTTTGAAGGAGCCAAAGGGCTGCTTCCTCTCCACTGCCCTGAGCTGCCGTGGGTTTGAGGGATGCCGTCCCCACCCTGCAAAGCACGCAGGCCACCACCGCCTTCATCCTCGGCCAGACCGGGGCCACTCCGCTACCCAGGGCTTATTTTTAGTTCCTGTTAAAAAGCAGAGAGCGGGTGCTGGAGGCAGGCAGTGAGCAGCAGCCAGGTACCCGCGGTGGCAATGGCCTGTGGCTGCAGAGCACATCCCGGCCACGCTCCACCTGCCCCGCTGGCCTGTGTCCCCAGCCGGGAGGGGGCCGGTGCCTGGCCCGGGTGCCTGGCCCGGCTCCCAGCCCGGGTGGGAAACAATGCGAGGGATGCTGACCCCAGCCGCCCTGACGTCAGCCAGCAGCGCTGCCGGCAACCCCGCCAGCCCCGGCCCCGGGGCTCCCACTCGCCCTCGGCCGGGGCCGCGCTGGAAGCTGCCTGTTTGTTTATCTTCCTCTGCAGCGTTGCTTGTTTTGATGGTACATCCTCCTCCTCCTCGCCGCGCCCCGGGGTCGAGCCGTGAACCCGCCGCGTCCTGTTTGCCGAGGTCCCGCGCTCCGCTTGCGGAGGTGCGGAGCAGCCGCCCCCGGCCAGCCGCAGCAGATAAAAATACACAGGGCAGAGCATCCTGGGGCACGGGGGCTATATTTGCACGGATGGCATCCGTGAGCCTGTCCTCGGTGTACCTGTGCCTGCCCTCCGCAGAGCAGGGGGCACGGCGCTGTAGGAACCTGCTCACCCTTCTCCCTCTCAGTCGGAGTGCAGACTCTGGAATAAGCTGTGTCATGAAACGCTGACCGTAGCCAAGCTGGAGCAGGCCCTCAAAACCCATGGGTGGCCACCCCACCCTGCCCTGTGGGGCCATTTCTGTAACCCAGAGGGACACCAGGGGACAAAATACCCCCAGCCTGCTGGGTCCTAGGCTGCTGGGAACAGTGCTGGGGAAGCCCTGAAGCACTGAGCCCTCTCCAGCCGCCTTCTCCTTCCCTTAACGGTGTGAACCCCTGGGCTTGCCAATAAAAGCCACCAGCTTCGCCTCGGCTTCTGCACAGCCACTGCTCCTTCCAGCTCTGCTCGAGCCCAGGCAGCTGCTCAGCAGTGAACCCTTGCCAAAAACTGTGTGTGTGAAAGCATCATTTCCTAAACGTATAAATATTATCAGGGCTTTGCTGGAAAACTCCCCATGGTTAGTTAAAATGCCCTGGACAGCCAAGTGCACACAAGCCCAGAGAAAGGGCATGCCTAAGCTGAGAGGCTCTGCAGCTCTGCCCTGGGGGACTGACAGGTCCTTTCCTCTCCATGTGGGATACAGCAAATATCTGGGAAGTGAGAAAAGCTGTGGAGCACCTGCCCACATCCAGCCCTGTACCACATCATCACAATCCCTTTCCAGCCCAGAGGTGCTTACCACAACCAAACATCCACAACCTGCAGCCCCATTTCAAGGATGGAGATACTGGAAGGACCAATAGCTCTCTCTTCTTGACCTTCTATTCACTGATGTTCTACAAGACCAAGCCCAGCAACTTGGTTTTCTTCCAGGCAGGCTCCCAGCCCACTTTTGGAGACATTAAGAGATGGAGGATCAACCACTGTCCTTGGGAGCATGCCCTGATCACTGGTAGGAGCAAACCCAAGCGCCTCCATTCTGACTTGAAATTCCCTGGCTCTATGTCCCAGTGCCTGGCTTGTGCTCCAGTGCTCTCTGCAGGATTAAAGAGCCCTTCACCAACCAGCCTTTTCTCCTTGTGAAGACCCACACACACTACAATCAAGGCACTCTCAATTTTCTCCCTGATAAGCTAGACAGAGCTCTTCCCTTCCGAGCCCCCAATGCCAGGCTCTCTCCCCAGTGCTCAGTTCATTCTGTGACTCTGTGCTGATTGTCCAGCATCTTTTTGAAAACCTACACATGGGAGCTGCTCACTGCATTCCCAGCTCCCCACAGCACGTCCTGAGGGACCCCAGCTCCCTGTGCTGCTCCTTTTAGGAGTGACAGAGTGTTAAATTGCCTGGAAGCTCTGAAGTAACTGCACAGAGACAATGAGGTCCCCCAGACCACCTTTCTGCTGCAAGATGAGAGGAGAGACTGGGGTGAAGAGCCAGTTTTGGTGGTGAAGAGCTGAAAAGCCATTTTTGGTGTTTCTCACTAACACAAGACCTAGGAGGCATCAGGAGGAACCACGGGGTACCACATTCAAACCAAAGGCAGCAGCTGTTTGCATCTCACAGCTCATTGCTGCAGGATGGCATCACCAGTGGGTTTATAAAGAATGGGATGAATGCAGGGAGGACACACACCCTCCCAGCAGACCAAAGCACAACTGCATCCTTCCACCAGCCTCTCCCCTGCAGCCAGGGCTCAGACCTGGCTACCAGAGGATGCAGAGGGGCAGCATCTCCCAGAGCTTTCCATTCCCTATCTGGCTCCAAGACACTACTCCTGGACTGTTCTCAGGACACACAGCACCAACCACCATCCCATCTTTTCAGCCTGAGCCAGATGTGCTCCACACCAGCTGCTTTTGCCAGGCTCTGCCTCACTCCCCTCCTGCACACTCTGCACCTTCCCCCACGGCCCAGATCCAACCAGCTCTTGGAGGACTCTGAATTTCAAGCCTGATACTCATCTTTAGCAGATGTTGCTCAGATGACTCTTCTACAAAGACACTTCACCATCCCCCTATCCTGGCACATCTGCCTGCACCCTTCCAGCGACAGCACTGAAACATTTACTGACTGCTTCTGCCATGTCTGGTCCAGTATAAATCATTTTACCACCTCTGTCTACCAATAAGCTTATCCTATTGCTGGGAGCTTGGGGTTTTCTCCTGCTACACCAAATAAAAGCCTTTCCTTCTGTTCATCGCCATGATTTTTCCCTGATGTCTTTAGCTTCTGTTACCCATTTTCTACACTTCATAATTTCTAATTTATATTGATTGCTATCTACTCCCGCTCTCCCATTTGTTATAAACTGCTCTTTTATTTCTAATTGCTGCCTTCACTTTGCTGCTGAACCAGAACGGGCTCTGGGCCAGCGCTGCCCTCTTTCTTGATTGTGGAATTGTGGCTTTTTGTGGCTTCTGAAATTCTTCTGAAAGAGCTCACCATTTTCATTCACATTTTTCTATCTAAATGTTTCCTCTGAGCTGATTTCACTCATAATTTTCTCCCTGCTTTGGGAAATTAGCTCTTTCAAGGCATGAAGGATATAAATTACTGCTTAGGAATGTCCTTTCTGTGCCCAGGGTGAATGTAATCTGGTCATGATCACTGGTCCCTAGGCAACCTTCAAGTTGCAGTCCAGCAGTGAATTCATCTCTATCCTTCATAATCCAGGGGAAAGTTGCCTGCACTGGATGCAATGCCTCACATATAAAAGAGGGATCATCTCTAATTTTTAGAAACTCTGCAGATCATCTGTTGTTGGCTGCAAAAGAACATCAGCTCATCTCATAAAGCACCATCCTCCCAAAGCCTGTGTGATACCACTGGCACCCTGGCTGACTACCCCAACAGGTACCACTGCCCCCCATTCTTGTGCCTTCACAGTGAGCACAGGAACACTCAGAAATGTCCAGAGTCCTTTTGCATAATGGGCATCACACATTTCTGACCCGACACATCAATCTGATTCATTTCAGTGCTTCTGTGATGATTTCCAGCAATGCAAAAGGATCAAAGACTCTCTCCTTCCAGTCTCAGTTTCTCCAAAGCACATGTTTGATTTGAGAACTGAGTGTGCCAAGGGGACAGTGATAGGCAGAGTATGGATAACATGCTGAAAAGCTCTTGTCCCCAAAATGTGTCACTGCAAAATCACCTCAAAAAGCAACTGGTGAACTAAAAAGAGATGGCTTCTCATTTGCCTGATCCCTGCCTGCCATCAGCAGCAGTGTTTGGGTCCAGAGTGAGTCTGGGAGGCAGGTGAATATGGTGAATATGCCCCAGTGATGGCACACTCCTGTGAAGCACCTCTGGCAGCTCCCAGCAACCAGGCAGTTCCCATCCAGCCCCATCAGGCCTGTTCCCAGCTCTGCTAGCCCTAAAGGTGAGGTGCAAGGATACACAGAGGGCTGTGGGAGAGCCAGAGGGCATGACCCCTCTTTGGGCAAGTCTAGCTATCCCCATCAGTGCTCCCATGCAGCCTGGCATATCTCACACTGCATGAAACCGCCCCTTTGGCAAAGGAGAGAGGACTTGCACTGTTCCTTACCTCAGCCACGAAGTTCTGCTGGAACGCCTCCTCCTGGAAGGGCTCTGTCCGCAGGCGGTCTGCAAGGGAGACACGGATCAGCCTGGGCAGTTTGGGCCACACCTCCCACCCCAGCTGCCCTTTTATCTGACCATGGGGTGAGGATGATGCAGGGGAAAAGCTCCAGCACGCTATTCCCAGAATCAGCAGGAAACACCAGCAGGCCTCTTGGGCTAAGGACATATAATTTGGCTAGCAGAAGATGCAAGGACCACAAGGAAGTTGGAAAATCATGGTTGAGCCTGCTGATGCACACAGCAGCCAGGCAGAGCCAATAGTCCATCCACACTTGTCCCAGCACTTCTGCATTGAGGAGTAGGGAACAGTGGCAGGACATGCTCAACATCATTCCCAGACCTTCCAGCTGGAACAAGCTGAGTCTGTGGGACAGGGCACTGCTCATCTGAAGGGGTGAGCCAGCCTGTGTCCTCCTCTTGCAGGAGAGGGACAAACCCCTATTATATTCTGCTCTGCACCTTGTCCAAAACACTAAGTTTTCCACATTGTTGCTAAGATGTGGTCTGGAGAAGCAGCTGGCTGGATTTGCACAGCCACTCGGGTGCAATGCTTCCCCCAGCTTCCTGCCCTGCACCAAGTAAGGGACAAGAGAGGCCAGCTGCTCACCAGCATCAGTGCCTGGACCCAAGACAGGTTGTCCAGGCTGCTCCAAGCCCTGCAGAGATTGCATGCAGCAGGACAGAGGGAAGTGCAGCTGGCCAATGCAGCTCTAGTGCACCTACAGGGCAGATCCAGGCTCCTGTGGTGGGGCTCCAGTCATGGGACAGGGTCTGGACCACAATATCTTCCTGGATGTGATACACAAGCCCGGGCTGACCCCCATGAGTCTCTGCATGCCCAGGGCACGCTCCTGCAGAAGTGCAGGTATCACCTGTGGCAGCAGGACAAAGCAGGGCAGTAGCAAGGCATGACCCAAAAAACAGCACCCAGCCAACCTCCACAGGTGGGGAACAAACCACCCCCCAAGGGGCCCCCCCTGCCCCATGTCCTGCCCAGGGGGGCTCCTGTGTGCCCATCACCTCGATGGCAAAGTGGGCTGGGCACTGGAGGGGGGCCCATGAGCTCAGCTGCACTTCCCACATCTGGGAGAGCCAGGAGCCCCTGGGTACTGTCCAAGCACTCAGTGAGCTACTGCCCCTGGGAAGGGAGCCTGACACCACGGCAGGGCCAGCCCTTGAGGCTTCCCCAATGGCTCCTGGGGACCAGCCAGGTGCCCTCAGAGTACTGGAGAGCCCCTTGGCCACCCCCCAATTCCTACAGCTATCGGTCAAGGGCTGCTCCTCCCCCAGCTCGCCCCAGAGGCTGCTCCCAGCCTTCTGGCTACTGCTGTGCTGCTGGCTTAGCTAAACATGCAACACAAGCCAGGCTGGGAAACAGTCAGAGGGAGCAAAGCACGCCAGCCCAGTGCTGGGGAGGACACTTGCTCCCTGCCCCAGGCATGCCTCCTTACCTCTGCTGAGAGTGGCCCCGCTCTCCCTGTAATCTTCAATCTCAGCATCCTTCTGGAGCAGCAGGGAAATCAGCTCTTGCAACTGGCACTGCAGCGCCAGGTTCATCTGGATCAGGGGCCGCACAAGGTGACGGCACACCTGCAACAGAGGAGAGGTGCTCTAGGAAATGTCTGGGTCCAGGAAGGCACACAGCTGCCCACAGAGTGGTCAGAGCAGGGCACCCAGCAAGGTCCTAGCAAGAGCTGCAGCCCAGGTATCACAGGGCTCCACAAAATACCCCACATCCACAGGGAAATGGTTAAAAGATGTGAGCTGGTAGAAGGCAGGCCAGATGCTGTGGGACACATCCCTCCATCCCAGCCCCATCCTTTCACAGCTCAGGCTGCAGCAGGGGAGCAGGGATAGGCAGCACTCCACCCACTACCTGGGGTGCAACAGGAAACAGGAGCCCCCCATGTGCCACCCAGACCCTCCCCATGGCTCTGCACACCTCATGACATGTTCCTATGCAGGAAACAGGCATGGCTGGGTGAAAAACCAGAAAGACCCAAGGCGTCAAACTGTGGCTTGATGAACAGGAGAGGCACTCCCAGGGAAGTAAGATGAAAAGCAAAAGAGATCTCAACAGGCAGGACTTGTGCAAGCTCCCCATTGCAGCCCCCATTGCAGTATGCCCTCTAAGCTTACACCACACAAGCCCCACACAGAGCCCTGGGCATGTCCTCTGTCTCAGAGCCCAGTTGGGCCATCCTGGCCCAGCAGGCACACAAAGCAACCCATCTCCTATCACCTCCTTCAGTCTCTGGAAGGGTATTTGAGATCCCCCAACCTATGGTGCCCCTTGTTTCTGTGACCAGGCTGAGTCCATGCGTGAGAGGACAGCAAACCCAGTATTGCTCCTGAAGCATTCTCACTACTATGGCAAGCCCACAGTGGGCTCTGTGCTTTGCCCACCCCCAGATATGAGCCCAGAGGTGATGGTCATCAGCCACTGGAGCACTTGGAGTGTACCACCTGTAACAGAGGTGGGATAGGCCAAGCCAGGTAAGCTCTATGCCTTCCTCAAGCCCCTGGCTGGGGCAGAGTTGATCCCCATCACTGCATCCACACCAGCCACACTCAGCACCCCATCTGTTTCCCACCTCCGTGGAGTCTTGCAGAGACCCAGTGTGTGTCCAAGATAGAGGAGCAGCGAGAAACAGGGGCTTTGCACCTCGTCAGCTCAGCCAGGACCCCGACTACCTGTTCAACCCTGACGGTGAGAGCAGTTCCC